AAAAATAGCTGTTTCACACCAAGGACATCTGCTGTCTTCTCATTTTGAAGCTAAATATCAGCTCAACTCTGGTCTAACTCTTTGTAATGGTACATACTGCATCATTACCCCTTTGTCTTTTATTTTTTAGATTCAACGCTTCTGATTGGTTAACCTTTCACCTAGAACTGTCAAATCGAGTTTGATGAAAACCGGTCTCTATGGCAGCAACCATGTTGGCACCATTATCTGTTATTACTGCCAGAATCTTGGTTGTTATGCCCCATTCCTCTGCAATTCTGGTTAAAATTGAACAAATACTGTCTGCAGTGTGTCCTCCAGAAACAGAGCATGTTTCTAGCACGCATCCCGGCATTTGCCATGTTTCATCTATGATGTGGCATGAGACAGTTAAATATGCCTCTGTGGCTCTTGATGTCCACATGTCAGTTGTAAGCACATTTTCTACACCATGCAGTGCCTTTCTGACCTTAGTGCAGCAGTCGTCATAAAGAACTGGTAGTTTCCCTTGCATCATAGTTTTTCTACTTGGAATTTTGTATCGTGGGTCAAGTGTTCTCACGAAATTCCTAAAGCCATCATCCTCCACCAGAGAAACAGGTTGCAGGTCCTTCACAATCATTTCTGCCAGGCTCTTCGTAATCTCCACAGCTCTTGGGGAATCAATCTGTCTAATCTATCTATTGTTAGGACAAAACCAGTCCTTGCATGTTCTTTTATGAAGAATGCTCAAAGACAAATCTGTCTTTTGAGATATTTATTACAATCAATATTTAAGGCAAAATATTCTGGAAAAGCAATACAGAGCTCTGGATTCCGTCTCTTTCTGAAGCCCTATCACAGAGAAGTCAGTGCAAGCTGCTGCAGGAAGGCGGAACCACGAGTTTCCTCTGCACAGAGAATTTATGATGAGAGTCATGCAAATAATCTGACGTCAGCCTGGTTGTCCTTCATCCTCGTTCCTTGGTTGGTTTCTTGACCTCGATCTGATCTGACTCCTCATATGATGATCTTGTCACCAGGCAGCCGTCTACACCTGTCACTATGAGCATTGCTAAGCCCTGGTTCCTGTTGTGATTTCCTGTAGATTGCTTGCAGCCTTACACTCTCTAAGACAAATGAAATGGTTAACACAAAAGTAGATTATAAGGCATATGATACTATTATAATGCATATGATATTAAAAGAATCCTGTAAATATATTTGCTAATGCAGATTACAATATTGATCCTAGAATTTCATATGTTGATAAATGTTGATAATCAGAAAGAGACTAAACAAGCTGGTCAAGAGAGCTGGATCTGTCCTGGGCTGCCCTCTGGAGACCATTGAGGAGGTGGCGGACAAAAGGATGCTGGTAAAACTAACATCCATCATGCACGACCCCTCCCATCCCCTGCACCACACAGTAGAGGCTCTGAACAGTTCCTTTAACACAAGACTGTTACATCCCCAGTGTAAGAAGAAGCGTTATCATAGGTCATTCCTCCACACAGCAATCAGACTGTACAGTCCATCACTGCAGGGATAAGCTAGGTGAAAGTATGTGGGACTATGTAATAGTCAACTGAGGTGCAATGCTCAAATCCTGGGGTAAAATGCATGGTTAATATGCTCATATGTAAATTCTGTTCTTGATTATTCAAATACTTGATTCTGTCTATTTTTGAGCACTTGGAATTTATTTATCAGGATGTGTGTGCAATGCTTGTTCTCGTGGTGTTATGCTATCTGTTCTCTATTGCTGCTTGAGGTACTGAAATTTGTTTATCAAGATATGTGTGGTGTTTGTTTCTCATGGTGTTATGTTGTTTGTTCTCCATTGCTGCTGAAACACTAAAATTTCCCCACTGAGGAATCAATAAAGTACCTACCTACCTATCTTTTTGTATCATTTTCCTTGTTTGTGAAAGGCAGTGATCATTTCTGAGCTTTTTTTTGACAATTCTTTTGACACTCAACAAACCCTGAGATAGTTCAGGTATTTGATGTGCTCTATCTCAATCACACCTGCTACAATTAATGAAGCCCTTGATTAGTTGCATCCAGTGTGCTTGAGAAAAACACCTGATTTGCAAATGTGTGCTCTTATGAGGGATTATGTTCAGGGGTTTGAATAATTTTGAGACTGCAGAAGTCATTAAACATAGCATTGTGTGTTGAATTTGGAGAAACCACTTATTAAATTAATTGTGTTGAGGTTGTGTTTTTGTTTGATTTGTTCATTGCAAATTTGTACATTTTGCCATCACAACTAATTTGCAATGGGGGCTGAATAATTTTGACTGCAACTGTAATGAATGTCACTGTACTATACATTACACACACAACATAACACTATGGATAAATAAAGGTTAGTACATTTTCTGTCAAACCAAGTAGCCAACTTCTTACAGTAAAAACACACAGTATCTATTGTCAGAAACCAGTAGGTGGTTTAGAGATGTGATTTTGGTTGCAATATGACTGGAAAAAATATGAAACACTCAAAACAGACAGTGACAGGATGAGAGGCAGTAGTGATGTCCATTTACTGTCATTGCATACACTTTGATACAAACAGGGAAATCAAAACAACACAAAATGAAGATGAACAGAGAGAAAAAAGCAAAACCTTTTCCTTCACCCCAATTACTATACAGATAAAAATGCTTAGGAATAAAAAAGCACTTCTTTCTTCTCTTTTTTATATAAGATACAGTTATTAATTTGATACATCCAGCTCTGCTGTTACTTAGGTTGGCACAAGGTGACAGACAATTTAAAACAAGATAAAATGATGATGAACTCTCAATGAGTTGCTGTTTGTAGTTTGTGTCCCTCAAATTACACTTGCAGACATCTGCAAAGGAGACCAAGATTAGAAACTCTCCAAAAACCAAATTAATTCCTGGTTCAGATGTTTAGTTGGTTTTAGCTTAGTTACGTCTATCAGCACAGAATGTGTTTGCTTGAAAATAAAAAAAACTCATCCCCAAAAACTGTTGATTGTTTTACTAAATTCAAATCACGCTTGTACATAATAACAGCTCTTTGGGCTTGACTCTGGCACCTTGGCTACACAGTAAAGTTTGATATAATAATATAATGTGGAGCCTAGACACACTATACTATTTATGAAGTTGAGAAGACTGGGAAAAGCACGGCACAGCTTAAGGGTTTTTCCATCATAGGAGCCTACCAAACATGTTGAGCCATGTTAATGCTCATCTCGGGTTTAGCATTTGTTTCCACTGCCCTCCACTTGTCCTCACTTTGGAAGTGAGGAGGTAGCACTAAAATCAAGTTCCAGTAATGGGGGGCTGAGGATGGGGGAGTGCAGAGCTGTCGCCCACAACTGGTTAAATGTCAGTGTCTTCACACCTCAACTATTAGCTATTAGCATTATAATCATGGCGTGTAAACACATTCACTGGGTTAGAGGTAAAATGACAAAGGACTTAACTTGTTGGTTTAGAGGTAAAACAGGGAGTTCAGTGAGTGGCAAAAGCACTGAAGACATCACATTTCTGTGTTCTGCTGTTTGATAAACTGCTCATACAGTCTGTGTTACTGGCTGGGCCGACACTAGAGGATTTTATAATCTTAGCCAATTTTAAAAATGTGAGAGACACACAGCTTTAACTGATTTTTTCACATTTTAATCTTAGCAACATCTGAGCAAACACACAAGACGATTCTGTCAAGAGGCAGGGCCACACACTTGCCAATTTTTAATAAACGATTTCAGAGACGCCGATTCTGGGGACCAGGGATCTCACAGAAACCTTTGTGATCAAACGTGACATGGAGGTGGACATTTGCCGTCAAGCAGTAGCACTCGTGTGTGCTATGTTTTGCGCAGAGAAAAAACAGTTTAATTTGGGGTGGGGGGGTGGGGGGTCTTGGCTGAGAAGGAAAAAATCAACTCAGCTTACACATTTTGCACAAGCTGGAGGTGAGTGGGAAATAAAGAAACGAGGAGGCTAGTCCAAGCCAATGTTATAAGTGGTTGTGACGGACGCTTCCCGGCCAGCTCTCTGTCACTGGATGTTGCAGGTGTCTGGTCAGGATTCAATTGTTGTTGCCCTCACATTACAGGATTCCAAGTCAAAAATACCAAACATTCTTGATACTTATGCTTCAAGATCAGGGGCCCTCCGATCCTGTCAGATGTATAACAATACCTAACGCTACAGGATCACTTTGACCGAGAATTGGTTCTGAGTGGCTTCACGATGGGGAATGTCCCCATGATTGCTGGAAAGGGCAACTCGGGCCCAAAATCGGGCTAATTATCCTGTACTGTGGGGCCGGCTTAAGGAGCAATGTGATCCTTGAATCACATTCTGCTCTGTGTGTGTGAGTGTGTGAGAAGCGCAACACTGACCTAATCTAAACAGGGACCATGAGAGGAGGAAAAAACAGTGGAAAAGCTAAGCAGAACAGTCTACATCAACCCATGAGGTTATACTGGGTGACAGTTAAGGGAAGCACAGGGTGTACCGCTCATTAGGTTCCGAAAGCGGAAACCCAGTTTTTTTTTTAACATATGACCTGATGCTGGTTTGGAGCTTTTTTGAGTGGTGCTGGCTGCTGATCGTTGTGCCTGAGCTACATGAGGCTGAACACACTTTCCCAGTTTCAACCAGACTGACAGAAGCACCTGATCATTTTTCTACAACTAAAAAAGAAAAAAAAAGAGAAGAAAAAGAGCATAGAAGGATGCACACACATACACAAATAACCAGCAAAGCCCACATCAAAATGTTATCAAACTAAAGTGAAAAAAAATAAATCTACACAGTTAGAAAAATTATAACTAGGAGAAATGTTGAGCATTCTCTGATTTTGCTAATCATCAGTGTACATAACAGTACTATGGCATCAAGTGAGGGGAGAGGACAAATTGTTATGACTACAGCTGGCGTGTTACATGAACATTATTCCCCACAGAAATTCATCCTTTAATTACAGAAAATCTATTTTTTGTGTTGCAGCAAATCAATAAATTTATTAAGTGGTTAAATAGCAAATATTGCTGTGTATTATTGGCTAAAATACTGGGTTTCAACTAAATTAAGTCTTACCCAGCTCTACCTCTTCCACACAGTTCCACGGCAGGACAACGCTACCTCCAAACAACCTCTGGCTTCTTGATCTCAAACACACCACTGCCATTTGTTTTTAAGAGCAGCAACTGTCTCTTCTGGAACACATTAAGCTTGCAGACTGCTTTACTCATTAATTTCTAGACATTGTTTTTTGTTAAAAATCAGTTATTATTACTGTTACAGAACTGGGAATCATTTACTGGTAACCAGACAGATATTGTGTGTCTTACCAACTGCTGATTTTAATTACATGTAAAAAATAACAAAACAAAAAAAAACTGTGGGATTTTAAATACAGGCTCTGCTGCCCACCAATCATCCTCATCAGGAGCTCAAGGTTTCTTTTACTGGACAAGACCAATTTCTTGAAATTTCTCCTCATCCTTCTACCCTGGTTGGGTTTATATAGGTACTGGCATGTGGCTGAAGTCAGAGCCTCCCTCCGAGGATCTTGGAGGCCATCAAATGGCAGTGCAGCATCTGTTTTGGAAGAGCTCCTCAATGACTGAGCAGTCAGCTAGTGTGGAGATATCACCCAGGTCTCGTTCACCACAGGCGATTTTGCGGAGCACCCGCCGCATGATCTTTCCTGCAAAGTGGATGGCAGAGTAGATGAGGAAATATGGGTTGACAAAAAAGTGAAGAACATATATAAGAACACATTTTCAATGACCACACACAAAATCCACTTGTTACTTCTCCTTCTCCTTTGAGTGTACTTTTAAGTGCCTACTTTAAATAGCTGCTGCTAAACACTTGCTCATGTCTCCAGGTGTATTATCACTGAGCCAGGCTTGTTTTATACCCAGAGAAGATGTGCCAAAGTGAAGCTACACCTGAACACAAGGGACATTTTGGGTCCTCATCTAACAATCTGTTCAGCTTTTGAGGAGATGAAAGCACATCATAAGCTCTGCCTAGAATGAATCTAATCCTTCCTGCCTCCATGTCCCACATTTCCCTCCAACTAAGCTGCTTCCTTTCTACATCTTACTACTGTCCCCGCTGAGCCTCTTCCTGCCTCCTAATCTCCTCAATAACCATCTTCCATCTATCAGCTGCTGTTACTTTGCTCTAAGAAGGTTGTTATATGCTTAAACCAAAACCACCACATCTCTGCTGTACCTGCCACAGTACCCCTATGTTTAAGAGCTGCCTGAGCCTGCACACTGTCTCCTGTGGGTTCTACCTCCTCTCTGCTGAGACTGTTGGTCCTGCACTCTGCACCACTACATCCATGTTTGATCATGGCACTGCATATGGTTCCCTTGGAAGTGTGCTCCCTCATGTGTTTGTTGTTTTTCCTTGTTTTCTCAGTCTTCTGCAACCTATCCTGGATTACCTTCACCAGAGAAGACCTACAAAACATCAAACAACTCTCTCCAAACATCTTTTCTCAGACTTTTTCTAATGCAAAAAGCTGTCTGGACATTCTAGTTGGAGAGGCAGCAGTCCTCTATGGGACTTGGAGAAAGCATTGGCAAGGGAAGAGAGTGGGGTCCTGGTTAAGTTATGTCAGAGAGGAAACCAGACGCCATTCCCATCTATCCATCTAGCAAATCTTTACTGGCTTGCCAACTCCTCCTTGTCAATCGGACTAACTCTGACCTCTCATGCTGGCGCAGCAACTCCATCTCAGACGGCACAATACAAATACAGGGGTTCCAGGTACACAGAGCAGATCACACAGATGTCACAGTGTTAGAAAGAACTTGCAAAATGGACTTAGAGACTCTTTTCATTAGCTGCAAACCTCCCAGAGAATTTTCATCATTCATTCTGGTCAGAGTGTATATAACACCGCAGATCCACACTAACACACTACAGCACCTGGTCAAACAGGTAACTAGCATGAAACTGAAACATCCCGACTCTCCAAATATTGTTCAAGGGAATTTTAATAAAGCAAATCTAACCCATGAATTGCCCAAATACAGACAGCAAGACAGTTGTCCCACCGGGGACAAAAACACATTGGACCACACAAACTTTCTGATCATTGCATGGTCCATCTCATCCCAACCTATAGGCAGAAACTTAAAGCTGTGAAGCCTGTGATCAAAACTGAAGAGGTGGACCGAGAAGGTAAAGTCAGAGCTACAGCTGCTTTGACTGTACAGACTGGAGTGTATTTGAGGTTGTGTCTACAGACCTGGATGAATTGGATGTGACATCATACATCAGCTTTTGTGAGGATATGTGTGTGCCCACCGAGACCTTCTGCACATACAACAACAAGCCCTGGTTCACTTTAAAACTCAAGCAGTTTCACCATGGCAAAGAAGAGGCCTACAGAAGTGGGGACAGGATCGGGTACAGGCAGACCAAGCTTCCCTAACACTGTTGGAATCAGATCATCATTTATACAAAACCTTTTATCTGAAAGCACACCTTTCAGAGAGAGCCCTCAGGGGTCAGGGGTCTGCAAAAGAAGAGAGACATCAGGAACATCACTGATGCTGGTGAGAAAGCATCAAGATGGCTGTGGATCAAAAGGGGAAACCCGTGGACTGGACAAGTCAGAGACTGATCATCCCAGGCTGGGTCACCTGGGCGAGGTTGTATGATGTTGAAAAACCTGAAACACTTGATGGCCCCAGGTTACATAACTGATGATGTGGCTAGGTTGCACCCCAAAGTGAGTGTTAAGATGAATAATGAAATGCTCCTTGATTTCTAGTCTACTTTAAGTTAGCACTCAGCTTGTCCAATAGCCTTTTGGTACATGGTGCTGTGGTGGCGATAGTTGTCATGTCATCCATGTACACTCCTAAATGTTGCTGTGTGTTAAATGTTGCTCTGATGGAAGCCTCATTCCTCCTCTGACCCATTTAGATGCCCTAATAAAAAGCTCCATTGCCATGGTAAACACTAGCACTGAGATTGTGCATCCTACCATGATGTCTGAAGTTGATCTAGACATCTCTTGTGTGCACTGGAATTCCTTTTACTTTGTGTATTTATTGTCCTGCTCCAGCTTGGCACCCTGTTCCATGCATGGACATAGAGTTGTGCACAGGATTACTATTTATTATACTAGGAGAGGAGGCAGAAGGGTTCGTAGACAAAGAGAGAAGAGGAAAGCCAGGAGTATAGGTCTGAGAATAGGGACTCTTAACATGTGCACAATGACAGGGAAAGGTAGAGAGCTGGTGGACATGATGGAGAGAAGGAAGGTAGATATACTGTGTGTGTAGGAGACCAGGTGGAAGGGTAGCAAAGTGCGTACCATTGGAGAGGGATACAAACAGTTTTATTATGGTGTGGACAGGAAGAGAAATGGGGTAGGAGTGATCCTGAAGGAGGAGCTTGTGAGGAATGTTTTAAAGGTGAAAAGAGTGTCAGACAGGGTGATCAGTTTGAAGTTGGAAATTGAAGGGGTAATGTTGAATGTAGTCAGTGGTTATGCTCCACAAGTAGGGTGTGAGTTAGAAGAGAAGGAGAGATTCTGGAGTGAGTTAGATGAGGTGATGGAGAGTATTCCCAGAGGGGAGAGAGTGGTGATTGGGGCAGACTTCAACGGGCAGAGGAACATAGAGTTACATATAAGAGTGGAGGTAGGAGTACGCAGGTAGACTACATTCTACATACAAGGCAATCTGAGAGAGATTAGTGACTGCAATATGGTGGTAGGAGAAAGTGTAGCCAGACAGCATCGGATAGTGGTGTGTAGGATGACTCTGGTGGTCAGGAAGAAGAGGAGAGGAAAGACAGAAAAGAAGACCAAGTGGTGGAAGTTGCAAAAGAAAGAATGTTGTGATGAATTCAGACAGAAGTTGAGACAGGCTTTGGGTGGTCAGGAAGGTGAGCGGGAAACTACAACAAAAGTGATCAGGGAGACAGGTAGGAAGGTGCTAGGTGTGTCATCTGGAAGAGGAAAGAAGATAAGGAAACATGGTGGTGAAACGAGGAAGTACAGGACAGCATCCAGAGGAAGAGGCTAGCTAAAAAGAAGTGGGACGTAGAATGGACTGAAGACAGTAGACAGGATTACAAGGAAGTGCAGCGTAGAGTGAAGAGGGAGGTGGCAATGGCCAAACAGAAAGCATATGATGAGTTGTATGCCAGGATAGACATGAGGGAAGGTGAGAAGGACTTGTACAGATTAGCGAGACAGAGAGATAGAGATGGGAAGGATGTGCAACAGATAAGGGCGATTAAAGACAGAGATGGAAAGGTGCTAACAAGTGAGGAGAGTGTGCAGAGAAGATGGAAGGAGTATTTTGA